TAATAAGCATTAAATAATGCCAAAATGGGGCATTTTCAATGCCTCACTGCTCCTTAATGAGCATGGGCACCCCCCTTTTTTCTTTCAAAATTGAAGTTATCATATGACAAATATTCAGTGGACAAAGTTTGAACAAAACTCTATTGTCACTTTTATTTCAGAGGAATTACCTAAATCTATCTTAATGAGCTAACGTTTTGCTTTTTCCCGTTTTAGTTTCTTCAGTTTCTCGTATTTTCTGCTGTCAACCCGGCATTTAACTTATCTGTTTCCTCACAGAGCCGTAGCCAGTGTGAGGCAAAACCCTGAGGTACTTGCCTCAGTCATTTTATCATTTTGCTGTTTTTCTTTTTGAAGGAGGAAAGTAAAACATTGCTTTAATATATCCCTAGTCGTGAAGAGAATTCACTGACCATGGACATTGCCTTAGTCATAATTTTGTTCTGGCTACGACCCTACTAAGTAACTATACATGAACCTAGCAGGTCGCACGGAATGGAGGCCAGTGCTAGCGCTAAGTTTCACGACCCAAACATAATGTCGGGAACGTAAATTTGTGTTACTTAATTTTTAGTTTTAGTTTGCTTTATGTTGATCATGTAATTATTCGCGGCTGTCCATTGGTCAAAGTTAGCCCACACGTTGTATCTTGTATCGTCCAGGTTCTAGATTCCTTACTCGTTTTGTGTAAGCGCGCGGTTTAGTTACGTTTTAACAATTAGATTCCATCGATGGTCATGTTAGGGTTTGTCTATTGCTACTGACCTTGCTGAGGTTCCTCTTTGACGTTCCTGTTTTGGCGTTAGTTCTCAATTCTTGACTGACCTACTCGTTGTATCAAGTGCTTTGCTATTCGTTTGCGGGAGTCGCACAAAAATGTTTTGGCTATTGTTTTACAAAAGGGTCAGTCGGCCCGTGTTCCCACATATGCTTATCGAATGGGTATTTAACGTTCCTTTGGCAGTTAGACAGTAGACGACTGTGCTTCGGATAGAGTGCCAGCGCCAAACCAATTAATACGGAATTCCAGATTCCCTGGTACCTCTAACCCTCAACCTCGTTCCCAGGGTCTTTTCCCTGGCTTGGGGGTGGGGCGCCCCACCCCCAAGCCAGGGAAAAGACCCTGGGAACGAGGTTGTCTAACCCTCTGGACTAAGTCGTTTAAACGGGAATTAACAATCAAATTCTATTAAAAGAGTGTTCTTCTTAAGTACACGTTACATTTTTCTCTGTTATAAACGCTGGCTCCACCAAAATCAGGGAAATTTAGAGGACAAAGTACGTCTTTACAAAGCGCGGAAGTAAGAGTAGCGCGTAGTCCTGGACGCCAGTCTCTAAATATAGCCTTGCACATCTGACTTCCGATTTGTCCAAAAAAAATGGCGCCCGCAACGACAAATACTTCAACTTTTTCTTCCACTGCGATAACTGGTAAGATGACCTTTGAATCGCAATTTTCTCTCGTCCGATGTAACATCTAATGCTTAATTATCTTTCTAGGTTTTTCAACTGTACTTACAACGTCAAAAACCGAAGATACAAGCGTCGACAACACAGATTTTTATACCGGCCTCGGACTTGCGATAAGTTCCAGCGTTTTCATCGGCACAAGTTTTATCATTAAGAAGAAAGGCTTGCTTAAAGTAACAAGGAGTTCAGGAACGAGAGCGGGTATATACGATTTAGTTAATAGTACGCTTCATTAGTTTATGGTGGTCCAACGATCATGAATGCTTGCGTTTTTCTGGATAGAAACAACATGAATTTTTAAAGTGCGCAAATTCGATCATGTGGCAAACTTTCGATATTAACGGCGGAGGTGCCATGTTTCAGATTTTAATCCCAGCTTCTGGCATTTTCTCTGTGTTGTCTAGGTCAAGGAGGCTACGCTTATCTGAAGGAATGGCTCTGGTGGTCTGGAATGATAACAAGTGAGAGAAAAATTTATTTATAATCGTTTCAATGAACTGAAGTGAATTTTCTTTCTTCTTCAGCACAGCTAGCGCAAATATCAAAACATGGAGGCAGCTGTTTTGTTTTTTCCGTTTCCGAAGAAACGGCATAACAATCGTTTCAACTGCGCTTGTGATCTGTCGTTTTGACTGTTGTTTAGTCGCTAAAGTGAGGTCTGTTCATAAAGTTTACATGGAAATATTAATGTATGAAAACGATCTACCCTCTAGTTTGAGAACTTCATCATTCAACTTTGTCAGTTTTGATGGAATAACTCTTCTGTGAAGTTCAGTTAAGCTTAGATTCATTTCTGGTTGTTAAAATATCGTGACCTTCATCATAAGCTTTTTTGATGTGTGTGATGAATGGTAGTGATGTAAGGTAGTCGAATAAAACTGTAAAGTAACGTTAATATCTTCTACACTTTGTGAAACGAGGTGAGGAAATTAAACACAGGAAATATTTTTCACAACTTGTCCCACGGTGAAATCTCAAAGTGACTACATCGTGAAACAATAGATAATATATTTTATCACGAATGACGTATCTCACAACTGTTTTTACCACTGAAAAAATGGATACACGATAAAATAATACATTCATTGTACCAAATGCTGTGTTTTATTTTCAGTGATCGTTGGCGAGATCGCTAACTTTACAGCATATGCGTTTGCTCCAGCTATTCTTGTTACTCCATTAGGAGCGTTGAGCGTTTTAGTAAGGTACGTTCAAGCTAGATGTAATATGTTGTTGACTAATATCTTCTTGTGTTCATCAAATTGATAAAGAATTATATAAAATGTCATCAAGCAGGAAGGTGATAAAAATATGAAAGTCATCTTCTAAGAGTTACCAAATATTTGATTTTTTTACACAACGAACTATATATTTAGTCCAGAGGGTTGACAACTTAAATCAACCAATCAGATTGCACCATTGCCAGTCCAATATTTTCCAACTATTGGACCTGGAACTGTCCCAAATGAACCCACATAACTACTCATGAAAGTTTTCTTTCTTTCTTTTCTTTTTTTTCTTTTTTTGCAACTGTTTGTTTCTGTCATTTTAACCCATTAGCTGAAAATGTCAAAAATGTCTAAAAAATGCTTTTTGCCAAAAGCTTTAGGTGTTAAATACGTCAGATGTAGATTATAAATGCTAATTCGGATCTCAATGACAATTGCTACAGCCTTATTCAAGTCCCTGATTGTGTGATATTTTCAAAACATTTCAGTCAAGACTTGTAATAAATCTCTTACCAGCCAAACTTGCTAGGGACCATACTGGAAGAATAACTACCCTT